GCTCACAGAGGTTTTCTGGCAAATATCGTCCTTAAGAAGTAGCTCAGGATGTCTTGAGGCTTCAAATGATTCATCCCATTGGCCCTACAGTTCCAAAGAATGAGATTACTTCTCTGATTGTGGAGCTCCTACACTGGACACTGTTGGGGGGAATCCCAGGACATTGTCAGGGAATAGAAACAAATCTAGTCAACTTGATTAAAAGTGGAATCTAGAAAACCAAATTGGGCAAGATAACGTGGGCCCTAATGCCACAGTGAGGAATGAGAATTTAATATGATAAACATAGGAGTCCTTGCACATTTTTTAATATGGAAAGGACAGGATTGAAACTGATCTTTCATCTTTCCTGTGCCACAACCAACACAATTTAAACTTTGAGATACCAAGCTTGTCGTTTTGGTGCAAACAATATTTTTTTCCTTTCCTCCAAACCTTGTCTTTTTCTTTCGACTACAAATTGAGTGGCATTATGAAATAGAGGACAGGTCATAGACAGCCAGAAAGACCCGGACCCAAGTCCACATATACCAGTCAGCTACTGAAGGAACTTTAACTCATGCATTCACATAAGTGCCTGCTAGGAGCCAGGCTAAGGTGATGGCAGTGGATAGTACAGACAGATTCTCTGTGAGAAGGGAGAAAGGTAAGTAAAAACAAATACATATGTTATATAACATAGAAAAGTGATATAAAGAAAAATAGAGTAAGGGGTTAGATTCTGATCAGGAGTGCTTGAGGAGATGACTTCATAACAAAAACTTAAATGAAATGGAGCAATCGGGGGGGGAAACAGGTAAGAACATTCTTTTTTTTTTAAGATTTTATTTATTTGAGAGAGCGAGAAAGAGAGAGAGAGAGAGCACATGAGAGGGGGGAGGGTCAAGCAGGCTCCCTCGATGTGGGACTCGATCCCGAGACTCCAGGATCATGACCTGAGCCGAAGGCAGTCGCTTAACCGACTGAGCCACCCAGGCGCCCCAGGTAAGAACATTCTAAGCAGAAGGAATAACAAGGACAAAGCGTTGCTTTGCACTTACCTGGTAGTCTCAGAAGCAGGCAGTGTGACTAGAGGTCTTGAATGAGATCATAAGAATGACAAGAGATAAGGCAGGAGAGGTAGAGTCAGATGATATGTCTTGTTGGACATGGAAAAGAATTGGGATTTTTTTTCTGAGGGGATGATTTTGAGAAAGGGAGCTAGTATTTCAATTTATATTTTAAAAGACCATTCTGGTTATTCTATAATGGATTGCTTGAAAGGAGGAGGGGGGCGTTGGCAAAAGTGGAAGCAAAAATCCCCTTCCTCAGTTAACATTATGAAAATATCGGGGCGCCTGGATGGCTCAGTCGGTTAAGCGTCTGCCTTCGGCTCAGATCATGATCCCAGGGTCCTGGGATCAAGTCCTGTGCCAGGCTTCCTGATCAGCGGGAAGCCTGCTTCTCCCTCTCCCACTTCCCCTGCTTGTGTTCCCTCTCTCGCTGTCTCTCTCTCTCTCTCACTCTGTCAAATAAATAAAAAAAGAAAAAGAAAATATTCTTGTTTATAATTCTATAATAGACTTAATGGTTAGTCAAGTTAGGGTGGACTCCTGGATTTAATATTCCAAAGATAGTGTAAGCATGGTGTTTATAGGTGTTTTTATTTTCTCCCAGGTTTTGACACCAAAAAAAAAAATGAGTTCAGTGCATTATTAAATGTAAAAAATTATTAGTAAAATGAAGTACCAGCAATTAGTTACTTCTCTAGCTTATAACCACTCTGTGGCTATAGTCCTACTTACAAGAACATTGTTTGAGCCTCAGCATCTTTGAAAGGGAAGGGCAATTAGGTAATCTCTAGGGTCCCATGGAGTTCTAAATTTCTGTGTTTCTGAGAGCAAGCCAGGTAAGCAATAATACTGGACATAGCTTTATATATATTAGTTCCTGTAAAATAGCTGGATGGAAAAATTCCAATCATTTAAGCATAGGTTCTTTACAAGAGCTCATCTGAACAGACCATTATACTGTAGTACTTACAAACCTATTCAGGGTTGTATGCATATTGTGAAAAATACACAATTGGAAGGGAAATAATGTAAAGCATATACTAGGAATGCTAATGATCTTAAATGACAAGAAAACTATATTTTTTAAAGATTTTATTTACTTATTTGAGAGAGAGAGACAGCACAAGTAGGGTGAGGGGCAGAGGGAGAAGCAGACTCCCCACTGAGCAGGGAGCCAGATGCGGGGCTCAATCCTGGGACTCCAGGATCATTACCTGAGCTGAAGGCACACACTTAACCCAATGAGCTACCCAGGCGCCCCAGAAAACTATATTTTAAGAAACAACTTAATTTCGAGTGCAAGTTTTATTTTTATTTAGAGAGAGTGCAAGCGGTGGGGAGGAGCAGAGGGAGAGGAAGAGAAGCTCAAGCAGACTCCACACTGAGGACGGAGCCCAACAAAGGTGAATCCACGACCCTGAGATCATGACCTGAGCTGAAACCAAGAGTCGGACACTCAACCAGTTGAGGCACCTAGGTGCCCCTTGAGTGCAAGTTTTAAAATATATTTCTCTGTGTACAATTATTCTTGTCCTATTTTATAATTCATCATATTCAGTTTTCCATCAAGAGTATAAGTAGCATATTGTTATTTTTGGGAACCACGGAGAGCATCCATCTGCCCATTTTTCTGCCCAGTAATATATGTATGATTTAAGAATGTTAAAGGTGACAAAAAAATTAAATGGTTTGCATTCTATGTTATAACTTAGAAGGTTTATAGTAGAGTTTCTCAATCTCAGCACTCAGGACATTTTGGGTCAGATAATTCTCTGTTATAGGAGGCTGTCCTATGTATTGGGGGATGTTTAGTAGCGTCCCTGACCTCCATCCATTAGATGCCAGTTGTGACAACCAAAAAATGTCTCCAGACATTGGCAAATGTCCCTTGGGGAGCAAATTCACCCCCAGTTGTTTTATAGTAGATGTCTGCTGCTTATTTATAAAGTAAGCTTGCTTTGTCTTTCTTTTAGGAAACTAGAAAATATTAAAATATCTAAGTTAATTCTTATGAAGCTTGTAATCTTATATTTTGGATACTGGAGAGATTTCTTTTTTCTTGCTTCTTCCAACAAAGGAATGATTACTTCCTCTCACATAGACTTGGGGGCATTGTCCCCTCAAATTTAAAAACAATGGGTCTGTGTCAATTCCAGCAATGTCTTTGTCAATATTAGCATCAGATTTGCTCATCTAGACCCCTGAAGCAATGCCCTGATTACCATACAGGGGGGAAATGCTCAAAGCTGCCTCAGTTCACCCCCCACCCAGTGTCTGGGCATGACTTCACTTTTGTCCAATATTGGTGAGCAAACTAATTGCCTCAGAGATATTTATCCAAATACTCAGTTTCCTGATTGGCTGGAAAAGCAATAAAGAGCCAAAATTCATAACTATTAAAATGTGTACATTTACTTCCAAAAATATTGCAGAATGATTCCATCAGAAACATCTGCACATTTTCTTCCCATCAAAATCAGAGAACCACAATAATATTTTTGCATGCTCTCATGGTCAAAATCAGGCCTTCAGAACACAGCACCACCTGCTCAGGAAACCAAAGGCTTGCCCAGAGACAGCCGGCACTGGTGATTCAAGGACAGCACGTTTGTATTATATGTTCAAGGGAGATCAAGAGTCTAGAGAGGGGCGCCTGGGTGGCTCAGTCGGTTGGGCGTCTGCCTTTGGCTCAGGTCATGATCCCATGGCCTGTGGATCAGGCCCCGCATTGGGCTCCCTGCTTAGTGGGGAGCCTGTTTCTCCCTCTCCCCACTGCTCATGCTCTCTCTCTCTCTCTCTCAAATAAATAAAATCCTTAGAAAAATAAATAAAAGCACTGAAAATAAAACTTTAGGAAAAAAAAAAGAGTCTAGGGAAATGCATAGTGACAAACCATCAGATACCATCCTCTGCCTCGTTCTGACACCCTCCTCCCCCAACCCCAACTTTTGGCAATGGAAACAGTAGTAAAGACCTGCAAGAGAAAGGATTCCCCTATGGGTCCTGCCACTCAATCAAATGTCTAGCCAAGGCTGAATAAAGTGAGTTACATAGCCATAGCTACCAGAAGACTTTTTGTGATGGTCGAGCTTTCTCAGTTGAGAAAATGGGGACCAGTTGAGTCACTGGACAAAATGAAATACTTCTAAAAAATTTAATTTCTTAGTGATTGGGGCACCTGGGTGGCTCAGTTGTTAAGCGCCTGCCTTCGGCTCAGGTCATGATTCCAGGTCCTGGGATAGGTCCCGTATCGGGCTCCCTGCTCAGCGGGAAGCCTGCTTCTCCCTCTCTCACGGGAGAAGGGGAGAATAAATAAATTAATGTCAAATAAATTAAATAAATAAATTAAAATAATTTGTCAAATAAATAAATTAAAATCTGTAAAAAAAAAATACTTTCTTAGTGATTTGGAAAGAAAGCGTCCTAAACAGCACTCACCTTCTCTAGCCTCTATATGTTTGTTTGGAAAAAGGAAAGCAAACAAAAACCCGTTTGCTAATGCTCGATATTTAAACTTGAAAGATTTCCCATAAGGTACAAAGATTTTTAGAGCAGCCTGAGGCAGGCAGCGCTTCCGCTTTCTCCAGGCGAGAGTGGCAGTATACTAAAGCCTGGCGCTGTGTGACCTCCCCGCCTATGGGGACTGGAACTGTGAGTGGGCAGCCTGCCAGTGACAGGGTCTACCAAGGCCCTCCCCAGGCCACCCTGGGCAGCCCCTCCCCCAGCCCAGGTCCCGCAGGGCCCCTCCCAGCAGCCTGCAGCTTCCCCCACGTGCCCAGGCTGGGGCAGCAGGGCCACTTTAAGGCGGGGGGGGGGGTTTGCCGTGCGCGCCCACAGCTGCGGACCACGAGCCATCAGTGCGGCCGACCGGCGGCTGGGACGCGGCGGCTTGGCCGAGCTCCTCCTGCGGTGAGGCTGCCCCAGGACCCGGCACGTGGGCAACGGGCCATGGCGGCCTCAATTATCCGCCCAGAGCGCGGCCAAATCTCTGGCCAGGTAAGAGGAGGCGGAGGAAGGGGAGGCAGCTGCGTTTATAACCGCGCGCGGGCCCTGAGCCCGGTGGCCTCCTTGGCCCGCCGCACAGGCATCTCTCATTCCGGGGACGCCGAGGAGCAGGGCTCGAGGAGGGCCACCTCCAGGGGCGCGAGCCGGTGCCCGAGGCGGGGGACCGGGCGGAATCACCCGGGGCGGGAGGCCGGAGCAGGACGGCCGGCTGAACTGTTTTGTTACACAGACATGCATGTCTGTCGCTGGACGCTTGCCAAACTCAAATTTTCAAGCCAGTCCCTCGGAGGGTTACCCAGGAGCGGAACTTAGTAGGTATCCAGACAGAATGTGAATGACGACAACTTTGGTTTTGCTTTGAATATAGCAAAGTTTATTTAACACGGCAAAGTTTATTTTGAGCATGCTTGTCTCTGCACAGCTTGGCATGCTTTTTTTCAGTTTGCTTACGGGCATGGGGTCCAAAAAGCCCTTGCATGTCCTTCCTCAGGCTTACACCCAAACCGGCAGTTGTGCCTGGAGACCAAAGCCGTTGGCGGGAAAAAGCATCTGCGCTGTTCACACGTCCTCCCACCCTCCCGGGAGCTCAAAAAGCCCACTGGCCTCTTTTGAAAGCACCTGATTTATCTTCCCCTTAGCAGAAGCATAAAATCATTTCCATGACTGTTTTAGATTTAAAAAAAAAATTAGGTGATGATTAGCCCTCTAGAAAGAGCATAGAGCCTCGGCCCACCCCAGAAAGTAAGGCAAGCTGGTGTTGGTTTTTTTACTTCACGTATCTCGATAGAGAAATCTGAGAGGCAAACCTTTTGGACTTCCTGAAGTTAGCCATTAGAATGCTCTGCGTACTTAAATCTCCTCACTCCTTAAGCACAAGCTTTCTGAAATTACCACTTTGAAGTGGACCAGTTTAATCGGTTTTCTTAATTATTTCAAAATGGAGGCACCTATTTAAACTCCAAGGAAAAATAGTATTTTATGGTGCAGGATTAGGCAAAGCTGCACAAAATGGAACTCTGAATAAAATGTCTGATTACCTAGTAGTACATAAATGATGGAGGCTTCCTACCCTTACGAAAGTCTGAAGCCCCTACTGAACCTTTTGTTTGCATTTGAGGAGCAGCTTGCACAGTTTCTCCAGATAGAGCTGTTTAAATCCCTTGACTCCTGGGGAAACCAGAGGCCAACGATTGCCCAGTGAGAGCATCAGCCCATGCAGCTGCTGCTGATTGTCAGCTCTGCTCCTGGTGATAAGAGTGACATAAATAACAACTCACTAAAATGTAGGAGTGATTTGCTTTAAGCACTTCAGCACCTGCTGTTACTAATTAAGGGTTTAGCCTGCTGCAGATTGCAAATGGAAATCCAGTGTTTTAAACACTGGAGACTGGAGTGCCCTGCGTGGTGCTGTGATTTAGAAATCAAACTGAGTGGCTAAAGACCAGTGGTGACGATGATGTCGAAATATAAAAAACTGCCCACACCTCAAAGATCTACACCAAGGTGTTAGGAGTGTTTATCCCCGAGTAGCGGAATTACAAATGCTTTTTATTTCCTCTTTAGGCTTTTTTTTAATTTTCCAGTCTTTCCCAATGAATATGTATTGCTTTTGTTTAAAAAAAACACAAAAGGTGCAGTAAGCAATTCAAATAGAAAAAAATTTCCCACCTAATGAAGTCTCGCCATCGGTTCAATTTGTGATGCTCACAGGTGAAAATTTTGGATGTACTAAAAAAGCAGTTTCCCACAGCAGAGTATACTAAAAAGTTTTATTCATTTTCCTTTTATTATTCCTACCAGTGGATTCTTCTCGTCACCTGTGTTCATATTACACTGCCAACAAGATATTTTTAACTGAATATTCAGATTTAAGTTGATTAGAAGCTATTGAGTTAACTCAAGTTACCTTGGGATAGTGGACTAGGGCAGTGTTCTATTTTATCTGATTGTTAACATTCCACGTGTGCTATGGCACGGATTTTGTAGGGCAGGGAAGGAAGCCTCTGGCAGGAGAGCAAGGCAGTTCTTTCCTGAGCTGCTTTATTTCATGCTCCTCTGTGAAGTGCCTTGCACCATGGCACAGAACTGTAGACTCGTGTGCAAAACGGCCTGTTAGTGGTGCTGCATGATCTTATGCCTTTCTGGATCTTTCCTCTCAGATTTCCCCCCAGTACTCATGTCCTGCTCCTCAGAGCTTGCTCTTGACTTCTCTCCATACTAGCTGAGAGATTCTGGGGGAAGTGAGGCAGTGAGCCTCTGAACCTCAGCGCTAGTAGGAAAGGGTTCAGGTGAGCCGCTGATTTCTGTTATTTAAGGCTTTTCTCCTGGGTGGGCCCTGATTCCCCTTCTCTATGGCTCAACAAAATGCAAAGAGTCTTTTGACTTGGGGCTGTTTTCACCACTTGATGGAGACACATTTTCCCCCTCTAATTCCACATCCTCCCTTCCCCATCAGATTGATGTTTTCTGTGCGCAGGCTTGGTATTATTTGAGAAAACATGGCAATAACTACCAAGTACAGGGCACTGTACTGACATGGTAACAGTCTTGGGATTTAAGTATTATCACCTTCCAGACGAGGATCACAAGTTTCTTACTCAAAGCCACTAGTAAGTGGCTGGACTAGGCAACAGAATCTGGTCTGTGTGCCTTGAAATCCTTTGCTCGCTTCCCACTGCATCCAGCTGTTAAGAATCAGTAGTAGCTTTGGTAGAACCGAGGCTGATACATGATTCTTCCTGTGTTCCGAAGACTGAAAGCTATATGTAGCAACAGAAAAAAGGATTATTAGAATGTCAGCCCCGTGAAGGCAGGGACCTTGTCTGTTTTTCACTTTGTATTCCCAACACAGCATCTGCCATGCAGTAGGGACTCCATAAACATCAGTGGAGGGAATAAATAGGTAACAATCACATTTAAGCAGATGCAAAGTGGCAGGATGTTTTAAAGGAAAGAGAAAAATCTTGGTAGTGGAAAGTTTTACAAGTTATTCATAGCCCAGGACACCTTGGTTTATATGTCTTATTTTAGTGCAATTATTAATAGCACCCCCTTTCATTCTCAAAATGTCTCAGTTTGGAAGGTAAATGGTCACCTTGTCCGTAGTAGATAAGTTAGTTTTGGACACTCATAGGTTGCTTCAGTTAACCATGTTAATTAAAAAGCAAAACTATAATCACTCCTTTTATGACCACTTGTTAATGACCATTACAGTTCTTGGCATTTGGCTCACAAGGGAATATATTGGTATAGAAGAAGTCCTGTGCTACAGTGGAGATTCATAATCTGGACTCAAAAACATCACAGTAACTTTGAGTCCCACATTGCTCCTAAAGTGCTATTGGAGATGAAGGATGTTTATAAAATGAAAAGGAAACACTCTAGAAGGGTCCTGATACTCTGTACTGTAGAAATTCCGAAGTGTTATGCTGCCTTCTTAGAACATAGGGTATTTGAGGGAAATGGAAGGAAATGAGGCTGGTGACATGGGTTGATATTAAGCTATTGAAAGGTTACGCTAGGGAGTTTGAATTCTTACCTGTTTAAAACAGGGTGGGTCAGGTGAATGAGATTGGCTCCTGATGATGAATGGAGCACACAAGTCAACTTCCTGGTCCAACCCAGACCCCAGAGTAGGACATACTTAAACATGTGCTGATACTTCAACAAGGAAATATCATGGGAAAAAAAAAAAGGTGTGTTGGGGAGGCAGCAGGTATTCCAAATTAGAGGTCCAAGGATGACCTAACCAAATGCAATATATAGCACTTCATGGAATCTTGGTCTAAACAAAGCAGCTTCTTTCTGAACATTAAAAAAAAAAAAAAATCCACAGGAAAACTTGAAATTTAGAAAGCAGATGTGATCAAACTGCCACTAAAAGAAAAGAAAACAAAAACCACAGCTTAAAGATCTAAAGACGAAAGGCAGAGGGAAAACAATTCTAGTGGTAGCCCAGGCTGAATGTTAGAAGAAACTGATGGAAGTTGACCAGAGTGTGCTCACCTGGTAATGAATTAGCTATATGCAGAGCACCTGGGCTAGGTGGTCCCCTAGACTTTCCCCTCACCCCTACTTCATCCTGAAGAGAATGAACTGTGTGTAGGACCTGGGTTCCTGGTGTTAGTGATTTCCAAACTTTTATAATTGACCAGGAGGGAAATAAACTAAAGTATTGGCTTTCAGGGTAATGCGTTCCGTTATTATTATTTCGACAATGAGCTGGCCCCAGCCTCTCTGGTCTCCAGCCTTGCTTCCAGTGTCTTACCCACTCACACCAAATCCACACTTGTCCCTTCAAAGGAAGCAGCCACTGGGGAGAGTACTTGTACATGTCGACTTCATCCTTGATTTGTATTTATGTTTGGATAACCAAGGATTTCCAGACATTAACAGAACTAGACACAAATGCAGACACTAGATACAACTATTCCAGAGACAGGTTTTTAAGGGGATAGAAAAAACTTCTAAAATTCTAATTTGTATTCTCAGTGAGGGTATCACATCCTGAACATAGCAGGTTATGAGGAATTACCAAAAAAGAAAAATCTTAGAAGTGAGCAATTCACATTAAATAAACTGAAATCATAAAAATCTTTGGAAGGACTGAAGAATGAGCTGGTGATATGAAAAATAAAGTTAAGAGACTGTCTATGAGAAAAATGGAGACATGAAGGATCAATTGTGGATGTCCTGCATCTCCTGGAAGATTGCAAGGAGGGATGAAGATAGAAGGAATTGGGAAATAGAAGAAAACTTTCAGAGCCAAAGATCCACTGAATGCCAAGTAGGATGAATAAGATCTATAACCAGACACCTCCTAGAAAATCATCAGAACCCATGGCATAAAGAGAAAAGCACAGGAAGGAAAACAAAGCAGCTTATTCTTTTTATCAACAACTGGATGCTAGAAGAAAATGGACCAATAGCATCAAGGTTCAAAGGCAAGGGATTTTTGACCTTGGAAGTATTTACCAGGTAAAACTAGCACTGAATTGTTGGCCCTAATGCTACTATTAAGTAATAGAAATAAGGGGTTTAACTCCCAAAGTCTTACGTAGGAGCAGCAGGAGGAAAAAAGGAAAATCCAATCAGCCTAACAGAAGGCATGGGAAAAAAGGAAACAAAATTGCTGTTGATGGGAATCGTGAAATAACAAAGGAAGAGAATAAGACCATTTCACATTAAGTTATAAATGTTTTATAATTAATATTAGTTAATGTACATTAATTAATACCATTAATATAATTAAATTCCTACATTAAAAACTAAAATCACAGATTGTGAAAAGAAACCTAAAAATTCAGATATATGCTATTTACAAAATTCACACAAAATCAAAATGATATAGAAAGGCTAAAAATAAAGATATGAAAAACTACTGTATACCAGAAAAAAAATTTCAAGTGAAAAGCATTAAAAAGGACAAAGAAGTATATTTCAAATACATAGTTTTCTGTCCATAAAATTATCAATGTGTGATCTATATATTTAAAATATGCTATATAAACATTGTAGGTTATTATATAATATATATTAAACATTATAATTATGTTTTATGTGAATATATATAATTATGAACCTCTATACACTTAACCCAAAATTAGATACAGAGTCTGTAGTTGGAGAAATTGATCAATTCAACAATCTATATAATTAGGAAAGATTTTACCACATCTCATAAAGTGAAAGATCAAGTAGACCTAAAGTAAGAAAGAAAACAGTAAGTTCTGTCTAAAAATTAAAGAATATATGCCCAGCAGAAAATACACATTATTTTCAAGTATCCATGGAACATTAACAAAAACTATGTATTATACCACAAAGAAAATATCCACATTCTAAGAAGAAGTCATATAGGATACATTTGCTGTTGACAATGCACTGAAATAAGAAATGACCGAGTCAATAGCCAAAAAAATTAAAAACCAAAACTAAAAACACCATACTGTTGAAAATTGAAAACATTTCATAAAGGTGTTTAACTCTGAGGTTAAAATGGAAGTATGAAGTGAAATTACAAACTAGCAAGGAATGAACATAGACACAATATATATCAAAATCTGTGGGGTACAACATAGTGCCACTTGGAGGACTGTGCCATCCAAAAGCACTTTCTGCCGTGATGACAATGTTCTATAATTATGCTGTCTGATATGGCAGCCACTTGCCATATGTGGATATTGAGCACTTGAAATGAGGCTAGTGTAACTGAAGTGAATTTCAAACTTTAATTTTAGTTAACATAAATTTAAATAGCCACATGTGGCTATCATGGAGGACCACACAGTTTATAGTCTCTGATAAAGCATCATCAAGAAAAAGAAGATAGGAAAATTTAATTATATATTAATCTCCAGTTAGAAAGCAAGAATAACAATGCATATAATAAACATTATATACATCTAAAAACTAGTACATTTAAAAAGAGAGAAAGTGGATTAAAAAATATGTATATGAACAAAATTCACTTATGGTAGAAAATCTAAATTTACTGGTAATCATTAAGGAACTGTAAAAGGTACTCTAAAATCCATCTCTGTAAATGGCTTCAGGCCCAGATTCTGCAGACATGTTTATCTAAATTTCAAGAAGCAGATAATTCTGTTTTATAAAATATTCAAGACCATAGAACAATATTGAAACTTTGTTTCATTCTTCAAAGCTGGCATAACCCTGAGATACCCAAACCAGATAAGACAATACAATAAAGCAAAATTGTATCCAGTCTTACTTATGAACATAGATGGAAAAATCTAAAATAATATGAATGAATTTAGTCTACACATTATAGGTTTATCCCAGTGAGGCAATTATGGCTTGACATTAGGAAATCTATTAATGTAATTCACTACCTAATAGAATATAGAATAAAGGAGATAAAGGTATGATCATGTTGATACTAAAAAAGCATTTGGTAAATTTCAGCACCTATTTCTGATTTAAAATTCTTAGCTTCCTAATAGAAAGAAACTTCTTTAACTTGGTAGAGGGTATGGACCAGAAACTTTCTGTATCATATTTAGTGGCAAAAACATTTGAATTATTCCCACTAAACTCAGGAACAAGACAAGAATGCCCAGTGTCACTCCTGCTATTCATCATTGTTTTGGATATTCTAGCCAGTGTTTTAAGATCAATGAATAAAAAGCATAAATTCTGGATATAGGTACAAAAGTGTCATTTATTTTATTTTATTTTATTTATTTTTTTTAGAGAGTGTGCATGCATACTCACAAGTGGAGGGTGAGGAAGGGGCAGAGAGAGAGAGGGAGAGACATCTCAAGCAGGCTCCTTGCCCAGCTCGGAGCCTGTCACAGGGTTCAATCTCATGACCCTCACTGAGATCATGACCTGAGCTGAAATCAAGAGTCTGACCCTTAACCACCTGAACCACCCAGGCGCCCCCCCCAAATATCATTTTTGAAGACAATATGATTATATATGTCGAAAATTTCAGAAGAATCAGCTAAAACATATTGGAACTAAAGAGAGAATACCGTAAAGTTCTTTTTTTTTTTTAAAGATTTTATTTATTTATTTGAGAGACAGAGAATGAGAGACAGAGAGCATGAGAGGGAAGAGGTTCAGAGGGAGAAGCAGACTCCCTGCTCAGCAGGGAACCCGATGTGGGACTTGATCCCGGGACTCCAAGACCATGACCTGAGCCGAAGGCAGTTGTTTAACCAACTGAGCCACCCAGGCGCCCCACCGTAAAGTTCTTGAAGCAAATTCTTCATACAGAAATTAGTAGCACTCTCTGTGTTAGTTGTAATCAATTAGAAAATATAGTGAGTGAGAAAACCTATTCCCTTTACAATGACTCTAGAACTTTGAAATATCTGGGAACAAACATGAGGACATATGCAGAATCCATATTAAGGTAACATTTAAAAAGACCCGAGGAATTGTTGGACTACAGTGAGAAAAGCAACTCACTTTTAAAAATATAATACCTGGGGCGCCTGGGTGGCTCAGCTGGTTAAGCGTCTGTTTTCGGCTCAGGTCATGATCTCAGGGTCCTGGGATCAATTCCCGTATTGGGCTCCCTGCTCCGCAGGAAGTCTGCTTCTCCCTCTCCCACTCCCCCTGCTTGTGTTCCCTCTCTCACTGTGTCTCTCTATGTCAAAAAATAAAATCTTTAAAAATATATATATATAATACCCCCTGTATGAAAAAAAAAGCTGTGTGTGTGTGTGTGTGTGTGTGTGTGTGTGTGTGTGTGTGTGTGTATGTGTATGGTAGAAATCATCTGGAAGGATATAGACCAAACTGTTGACAGTGGTTGCTTCTATGGAGGGATTAAATGGGTAAATGAAGAATCACCTCTTTTATTTTTTTTAACAAAAGAAGGAAGAATATTAGAAGGCAGATAGAAATGAGAAGTGCCGAAGTTTTGCTTACTTTGAACTTACTTGAACCTCACATGTTCCTTCCAGCAAGCCCTGGCAAACCAGGCTGAAGGGGAGAGGAAGCCCCATAGTGGGACAGCCTCACCAGCATCCTGCCCTACAGAGTTGTGTCTTTGGCAAGCTGCCTTTCTCTTCATAGGTATTTCCAACTCTTTCACCCACTCTTTAGGCTTCAAGTCTGGTCAGCTCCCAAATCTGTTTTCTCACGTGGACCTGTCTGTGATCTGCCATTTCCAACTCTCTGCTCACTGTTTGCATTAATTCAAGCATCCCCATTCTTTAACAGTTAGAGTGGATTGTGTTCCATAACTATAGAGAATAAAACATAGGAAAGTAAAAGGCAAAGATGGAAATTATATTTTTTCTAATTGAATGTGCTTGAAAATAACCCCAAAAGGAAAGAAAGATGCTTTTTTGGCTCCAAAATATTGAGTTTTGAGTAGCATGTATAATCTATTTAAAGAAAAGACCATGAGTGTCTCTTGGAATTTAGGAATTTGGTTCTTACTCTGTGTTCTGGAATGTATGTTTCATCAAAATAAATGGTTTGGGAGAGCCACCAGTTTGTTTTTCTCACTAGTAAACAGATTTTTCAGCAGGATGAGTGATTGGGAAACTGGGCCTTAAGAATCCTATCTGTTGTTCCTAGGATGAGAGAGAAACCCACGGGAAAACCACAGTAGAATAGCATTTGTATGCAAAAATATTTTAAAAATAGCATGACCTTCAGATCCATTCACCACCCTAGGTAATGAAGACAAGAAATTAATAGTTCCTGTCCCTGAGGTGACCATTCAGTCTGTAGTCGGTTATTGTGTTATTTGTCACCTTTATTTATTGTATCCTCTAGTACATGACATCTTCTGTATGCTCAGATGTTAATTAGGTGGTACTTCTGCTTTTTTCCTTCTCTTTCAGGCAAAAATAGACCTCTTGTTAGTTGGAGATGTCACTGTTCAGTACTTGGCAGATATTGCACAGAAATCCTTTTCAAATATGGCAAAAGTCACCATAACCATCAGGGATGTGGGGCAGGCAGCCACACTTCTGAAGGACCACCCCTTTGACATGGTTTTCCTGAAGATGACTTCTTTACCAACGGCCGAGGAGCTGGGAGCTATCAAATTAATTAGGTGAAGTTCAAAAACCTTTGCTCTGTACCTTTATAATAGTTTTTATTGAAAGCCATTTCTATAAAAAAAAAAACAACTACCTTAAAAGATGGTACTATTTATGCTTTCATTTTGAAGATGAGAGATATTTTCATGGGCAGAATAGGTATACATATTGTTTTTATTGGCAGTTTGACATGCTAATATAAGAATTATCCTTTTAATTTAAAAAGTAATTGATGTGGATGAGAATGTGAGAATTAATTGGTCATAGAAATTTATTTGGTATACAGTACTTTAATCCCACAGGTACTCCTTTTTAATAACTATGTCATTTAAAATGGTACATCTTTTGAGTTCATTAATTGTGATGGCAGATACTAAAGCAGGTGAGCATTCTTAACTCTAAAATTATCTTTTTAAAGATGTTCTAATGTGAAAAATTCCTGAGGCTCCCTGGATCTGTTGAGTCCAGATCGATATCACATCCAATATTTTTATTTCATCCTGTAGCTCCATAGACATTCTGCTTCTGTTTGACCCACTCCACTCTAGAGATCTGGAGTCTAGTGGTGGGAGAGTTAGGTGCTTTCTTGCCTCACTACATAGGATTTTGAGCCATTTTGTTTGTTTTGTTTTGTTTTTGAGAGAGGAGGGGAGGGGCAGAGGGAGAGAGAGAGAATCTTAAGCAGGCTCCACACTCAGCACGGAGCCCGATGTGGGGCCTGATCTCATAACCCTGAGATCATGACTTGAGCCAAAATCAAGAGTCAGATGCTCAACCAACTGAGCCACTCAGGTGCACCCCATTTCGGATGTTTTTTAAATAAGGTTAGGTCAAAACAAATTTCTTCCCCTTCTACGAGAAGATTTGATAGAGAAAGTATAATCGCAGATAATGGAATATATAAGGACTTGTAATAATTACAAGATAGGCCTTTCATGTCTAAAGGAGGATGTTCAGAGACAATGTTGTTATCCCTGAATAAAAAAGAGCAAACATATTATGTTAGGCGACAAGAAAAGTTGAAATGGGAAGAAGCCAAATTGATGAGTTCCTTGTTAAAAAGAGAGACAGATGCTGCTCCTGAGGTTTCTTAGAATGGTGATCTTCTACATTTCTTTTGTCTTTCCATTGGGAATATGAACTCTAGACAAACCAGGCAAACTACCTCAAAGTGGATTTCATTTCCAAGATACGTTGTGAACTCTCCTCCTTCTGAAGATATGCCTATTTTATTACATACCTTTAAAACGACTCCTATAAAGAGAGTTCCCCTGACTGGGACCTCATCATAATATCACATTTATTATAGTATTTCAACATTTTTACAACAGTGTTATGAGGGAGGTAGAGCAGGGTTTTGTCATCCCTACATGACAAACAACGAAGGGTGAAGTGATTTGCCTAAGGCCACATGACTCATTTTTGCAAAACTCAGACCAGAACTCTTCTCTCTTCATGTTCTTTGTAAAAGCCTATAATTACTTGGCTTCTGTGTTGAAGACCCTTCTTTCACACCTCTGGGATTCAATGTATGCCACACTTCATATAAACTAAACATACATATGATTTTGGAAGAGTACTGTACAAATTAGTGTGGCCGATCTCTCTCTTCATTCCAAGAGTGGGAGCCTAGCCAGGTCCCTCTGAATGTAGCAGAGTCTTTGTATTTGCTCAACATTGAAGCTACATTTTGAACAGGATAAGATTAAAGTTCTATTTAAGAACAAGTTTTATATCTAGTTGCAATTATTAAAAGCTAGCAGGTTAGAGGAGAGAACTCCCTGTGTGATGCTCACCTCTGTGGGTTCTCCTCACTGGTGGTTTCTTTGCTCTGAATAACACAGCTGAAAACTTCTTTTCAGGGAAAAGAAGGTAGATGAAGGCACTAAATATACAGAAATGCAGATGGTAGTTCTATTTTGCTATAAAAATATTTGTTTGAAAAGGAAAAGAGGATCATTTGAAAACACCTGGATGGGTTTTTCTTATGTCTTGTTCTGCTGTTCCCAATATCAAGGATAGGACTTGACGAATAGCAGGTATTCAGTCCCTAGCTGGAGTATGAGTGAGTGACTGTGTGGATGTGTGAAAGAAATGCCATTGAGGGCAGACAGTGCGTTCTAGCTTTTGTCTTCCGTCCTAAAAAAAGAGATAGTTTTCTTTGTGGGATCCTTGCCTTTTGTGACGCCGGCCTCAGAGGCTTAGGATGTCTGTGGAATTCCCTTTCTTACCCTCAGAACTGTTATAAGTTTATGACTTATGAATTATTTAAACCCTTGTGGGTTTATACATGTTTATATTTTTGAACCTGTGGTTTTAGAGTAATAAGTCCTATAAACTTACTGCCCCATATGTAAGGCATTTAAACCTTCATCATTCCTAAAGCACTGTATCTTTTGAGTTTGAGCTGACATTTAATGTCTAAACCAAAATGAAATGTCTTGTTTAGCTTTTTTTTTGCTGCATTTTAGATTTTTCCCTCTTAGATCCTTGTTGCTTTGTAATATCTCAAAATCTGGATGAGTCCTGCAAAATATATAACTATTTATCTTACTTTTCTCTCTCTTGGGACTTTATATGTTTCACCAGCTAATGAGGAGCTTCCTATAGAATAGAAATGTTCCCATTTATTTGCAGTATTAGAGCCCATAATCACAAACCTATATACATAGAAGATAGATGGATTTCTATCGACAATAAGAATGAAGTATATATCCTGTTAGTTGTAATGTTAAACTTACTTTATTTTATTTTAAAGATTTTATTTATTTGACAGAGAGTATGAGCAGTGGGAGCGGCAGGCAGAGGGAGAAGCAGGCTTGCCACTGAGCAGGGAGCCCGATATGGGACTCGATCCTGCGACTCCAGGATCATGACCTGAGCTGAAGGCAGTCGCTCAACAACTGAGCCACCTAGGCACCCTGTTAGGCTTATTTTAGAATAAAATGTAAGCAGCTTATTTAAAAAGATTCTTAAATTTATGGTTATAGAAGAACTATGTTTTTAGCTTGGAGCTAATCAGTGATCAGTTTTTTTTTTTTAAGATTTTATTTATTTATTTGACAGAGAGAGAGAACACAAGTAGGCAGAGTGGCAGGCAGAGAGAGAAGGAGAAGCAGGCTCCCCGCCAATCAGGGAGCCCGATGCGGGCCGGATCCCAGGACCCTGGGATCATGACCCGAGCCGAAGGCAGACGCTTAACTGTCTGAGCCACCCATGCACCCCTCAGTGATCAATTTTAATCGCCCATAAAAACATTGGTACTTTAAGACTGACATTCTCAAGAGTTATGGCACATCTTAGGGGCGCCTGGGTGACTCAGTCAGTTAAGCATCTGCCTTCAGGTCATGATCCCAGCATCCTGGGATAGAGCCCTGTGTCGGGCTCCCTGCTCAGCGGGGAGCCTGCTACCCCCCTCTCCCTCTGCTGCTCCCCCTGCTTGTGCACTCTCTCTCTCTCTCTCTCAAATAAATAAAATCATAAAAAAAAGAAATATGGCACATCTCAATTATAGGTTAACATTCTTAATAGTACTCCCCAATTTGATTTCATTTTATGAATACATTTTTATTGAGCCAAATGAACTCAACTACTACCCACTGATAAAATATTTTAAGACAGTCCTAGGGTTCATTTGCTTGGCTTCAGACTTCCAAAATTGAACCACACTCAAAGAGCAGACACTTGATAATTCAGACACATCCTGATACTTTACCTTCCAAAGCCAGGTATGGAAAATTAAAATATGTTTTAAACTCATCAGCAATGTATGGATCCTGTCTGAAATTGTGGTTTTCCATTCCATGAAATGTCTCTGCAGTTCTTAGAATTCTGTGATTCTTGTGAGCTCCGTGTAGTTCAGCAGTAGCAAAGGAATGCAGAATGTTGTTCCATCTGCTCTGGCGACAAATCAAGTTTGGATCTGATTTTATTTTTCCCATGTAGTTTCAATTGTCTGATCAGTTAACTTATTAATTCACTAAGAAAACCTAATCTTGTGAACCACAGGGATCTAACAAGCTGTCCTTTTGTGTCCCCAATTCCAAAACCCCTTTGACTTGACAGAGCAACTCAGTAAATCTTACTAGCCAGTTGGCATGACCTAGCCCTCTGAATGCTTGATGATAAACAAAATAACAATAAAATACGAAGTAGTTTTGCTAAAAACATTATTCTATAAATTGATGGTTGAGTGTAAATGTGGTGAACCTGACTTAAGAGGTTCACAGCTCTTCTGAAGAATAGCATGATGGGAACAGCACACCAACCATCACTACTGACCAGAATAAACTCTCAGAACTCAACTATATTTTATCAGAGGTGCCCTATTAGGAGCAAGTGAACTTAGTGTTTTCACATGTATAAATAGTAAAGCTCTCGATTTTCTCATTGAAAATGGTTGTTTTAATTAAGTCATTAGCAAGGAACATTATTTGTTACAAGTCCCAAATAGGCCAGCCAGGTTAGTTTGGCTGCATTTGGCCCACAGATGGCATAATGGATAACTGTACTCAAGCAGGCTACTACCCAAAAGTGACACTGGCTTTTGTCCCTTGAAGTCCTTGTGACTCTAAAAGAAATGAGTTTAGAAATTTCTGCTGGCTTCACAGGGACTTATAAGACACCACTTGTCCTCTTATTAGATGATAGATTTCAGAGGCCAGGGCTTTCCTGAGGTTCTTTAGTCAGTTGAGTGTACAATCAGCTCAAGACACTTTATATGATCTTCTTTATTTTTTTCAGCTACCAGGGACCAGACCTGGGGATAGGGTCAAGATTGGGGATCTGTACTGCTGCAGTTTGAGCTTATTACTCAGTTCCAGAGAATACCAGAGACAGGCATAGGAAGGGACACTAGAATATCAACATCCAATCTTGTATGTAGAGTATGGTCTCAGGAACTGTCTCAACATTTAAATGGTGTATTGTGTGAAACATGAGGAGAAATGAATTGTCCCCCAATGAATTGCAAATTTTTAAAACCCAAGAGATTTCAGCTGAGAAGGTGCTTAAGTTCTCAGAACCGGCGATTTGATTTTGGTATATGGAAGAAGTGCTATTAATTGGGGTGGATGAAAGAGATTTTTGCTTTATTTTTGTGTTGCTTAGTTTTAAGGAACATTCATTAATTAAGAAGAGGACTTTTTTTTTTTTTTTTTTTTTGGTGATCCTGGGAACTCTTAGCTTATCGATCTGTAGAGAATATGAATGAGCAGCTGAGCTCCAGACCAGTGTGTTGGATTCTGGGAATTCTATTGATTAGTGGAGCTCCTATACAGCATCACAATTAGGGTTTCACTGGCAGGGGAAGTGTTTGGGTGGGTAATTGATTCTGTGCTAATGAAAAACATCCAGGAATTCCAACTCTGTCTGGTGTAAAGCTTGAAATCTGAAAGTCATCATGAGGGCAAATAAATTCACGTATCCAAATCTAACCTACTTTTGTGCCAGTAACATCAATTTGTAAAATAAAGAAATAGACGCAGAATATTTCTAAAAGCCAAGATTCTTTTATTTAAAATTCTCTAATTCAAGAGTATTTTAGCTTATAATTTACTCTGTGAATCAGCAAAATATTTTTTATTTCAAAAGTTGGGCGAGACCATCTTGTATGTTTCTTTCTGCGGTCCTCTTTGTTCGGTCCATTTTTCCCTTCCACTTCTGTTTCCTCATCCAGTTATCATACCTCCATTATACCCCACTTAAAATTATAAATGAAATGCTTATGTTGTGGCAGGCGACATTCTTGTCACCCTCCATGACACCATGCCCTTCCAGTCCCAATAGGCTCATATGCCTTTCTTACCTCCACATTCAGTCCGCCAGTCAGTCTTGGTTTCCTCCCACATATGCCTGTTTTGGTGGTAGTATCTCTGCCTGAGCTTCTCATTTCCTCATAGAATTGTGCATTCTCTCCTTTTTTTCTTGTTTAGCCCAAACACCTCAGAATTCATAGAGCAGAGTCAAGCCTGAAGAAACCTCAGTTGTGTGCATGTCACATGTTAGCACTGTCCTGCTTGTTTGAAGTAATTAGTAAATATTCTGAATTATTTATTTTTTTTTTAAAGAAGGTTCTCCGGTATGTCTGCTTTTCTCTACCATCAGTTCTTGCCTGTGTACTTGGAATATGGTCTCCCAAATTCACCCTGTGCCATCACCCTCCGTCCATCCCATCATAGACGGAGTGGTCTTTCTAAAATGCAAATATAATCATGTTAATAGCTTAATAGCTTCCCATCGTCCATTTTAATAAAATACCAAATCTTTAATTCAGCCTAAAGCTCTATGTACCTTCTCTGGTCTTCTGTGTCTCTCCCTCAGAGACTCTGTGCCATCTTGGACTTCTTTGACTTTCTCAGACTTACCTGTTCGGTATATTCCAGGGCCTTTTCCCAAGGTCTGTTCTGTTTGTCCAGAACGTACTTTACTGCTTATCTGCTTCTGACCCCCATACCGCCCAGTTCTACCTTTTGTGTGGCAAACTTCCAGTCAGCCATGGAGGCATTTCTGCCTGAAAGCCTGAGGCTGCAGAGTAGGGTAGTTCCCAGGTATGAACTTCTGCTGGCCTCTATGACTTTCTTTCACAACACCGGGTACATATTTGGCTACTTAATTAATTATCTACAGTGATTTGTTCAACATCTGACCCCCCCCAGAAACCGTTAATTCCATGAGAGCAGAGACCTTGTTTTCCTGTCTGTTCATGATATCCCCTAGGGCCTAGCACAGAGTCTGGCACATAGTGGGTTTTCACTGTATATGACTCAGGTATATAAATTATGTATACAGTTGATCCTTAAACAACATGAGGGATAGGGGTACCAATCCCTAGCACGGTCGAAAATCCATGTATAACTTTTTTGCAGAGAGTATTTTTTTATTGTAATATAATTACATAACACAAATGTTACCATCCTGTCCATATTTTAGTGTTCATTTCAGTAGTGTTAAGTGTATTCACATTGTTGTGAAATATATCTCCAGAACTTTTTCATCTTGCAAATCAGAAATTCTATTCCTGTTAAACAACTGTCCCTTTGCCCCTCTCTGCATTTCCTGATAACCACCATTTTACTTTCTGTTTCTATGAATTTGACTACTTTAGGTACCTCACATAAGTGGAATCATTACTTTTTTATGACTGGCTTATTTCACTTAACATGTCTTAAAGATTCATCCATATTGGAGCATTTAACATCTTTTCCTTCTTTTTAAAGACTGAATAATATCCATTGTATGCATATAACACTGTGATGGTTAATTTTTATGTTTCAACTTAATTGGGCCACAGGTACTCAGACATTTGGCCAAACATTCCTCTGGTGTATCTGTAAAGATGTTTCTGAAATATTTTCACATCATGTTCACAACAGCACTATTCACAATAGCCAAAAGGTAGAAGCAATCCAAATGTCCATAGACAGATGAATGGATAAACAAAGTGTGGCTATATTAATCAGGATTCTTGAGAAACAGAACCAATAGGATGGTGATCTATCTATCGATCTATCATCTATCCATCCATCTACCTAGAGATAGAGAAGGAGAGAAGTTGATTTATTTTAAGGAAGTGGCTCATGCCATATGGAAGTCAAGAAGTCCCAAGATCTGTAGTTGGCAAGCCAGAGACCCAGGAGAGCCAATGTGTAGTCAGTCTGAATGCAAAGGTCTGAGAACCAGGAAAGCTGATGGTATAAATTTCATTTGAAAAGCTGGCAGCCTTAAGACCCAAGAAGAGCCGATATTTCAGTCTGAGTCTAAAGGCTGAAAAAGGCCAGTGTCTCAGCTCAGGAGTCAGGCTGGAGGAGTTCCTTCTTACTCAGACTTTTTGTTCTGTTTAGGTCTACGATTAATTAGATGAAAACCACCCTCTTTAGGAATGCCGGTTTGTTTTATTCAGTCTATCTCAATTCAAATGTGGCTCTCATCCACGTATAACTTTTGATTACCTCCAAAAACTGAAATACTAATAGCTTGCTGTTGACCTGAAGCCTTACCAATAATTTGGAACAATCAACGCATATTTTGGATGTTATATGTATTATATACTATATTCTTAGAATAAAGTAAGCTAGACAAAAAATGTTACTAAAATCATAAGGAAAAGAAAATACACTTACTCTTGTACTGTATTATATTTATCAAAAAAAATCCACATGTGAGTGGACCCACATAATTCAAACCCCTGTTGTTCAAGGGTCAACTGTAATATAATTTGGAGCATAGAATAGTGTGTCTTTCCTTTCAATGCATATATAAGATAACCTAACAATATTGTTTAGTGAGGGTCCTGTCTTAAGGAATAAATAATAACCACATATAACCACATGCTAATATAATAAATGATGCTTTAAGCATTAGAGAATAGTTATTTTTTTCTTAGGCAGTGGAGCTATTCTCTTTAAAATCTGGTTCACAGTAATATTCTCCTTGGAAAATAATTTCCTCCTAGCTAATGCCAGTGCACAGTACCCATTAGATTATCAGAAATTCCAACTTACTGCACTCCTCAGTGTAGTTTATTGTAATACCACATTTCTTTGTTTTATTTTTTTCGACTTCAAGCATATAAAATTAGAATAGTGTAATGAACTTGCCTGTACCCATAATGCAGCTTTAACAGTTACAAACACATGACCAATGTGGTTTCATCTCTGCCCCTTCCTACTTTCCCACTCCTGCTCACTGGTGAATTATTTTAAAGAAAATCTAAGATACCATTTTCTTTCATCCATAAGTACTTTAATAAATACCTTTAAAAGATAAGGATTCTTCTAAAAAAATAGTGTAATAACAACAGTGTAATAATAGTATAATAGTATAATAGCAGTATCACACCAGAAAATTAATAATAGTTCTTTAAATTATCAAATACCCAGTCAGTGTTCAAATTTTTCTGCTTATCTTATGATCTTTTTAATTTTTATTTTTTTAAAACTTTTGTTTATCTCTACACCCAATGTGGGGTTTGAACTCACGACCCCAAAATCAAGAGTGACATTCTCCTCTGAGCCAGCCAGCCGCCCCATCTTATGATTTTTTTAAACTGTTAGTTTATACAAGTCAAGATTCAATTTTCCCTTTCCTCTGTTTTAATTTCTTTGTGTCTAACTCTTTATTTATATTTATTTTTAAAAGGGGTCATTTGTCTTACAGAATTTTTCACATTCTGGATTTTGCTGATTTCATCCCCACAGCATTCTTTAAAATATTTCCTTTTCCTTAAATTTCTTGTTAACTGATGGTTAGGTCAAGAATCTGGATATGATTTAGGCTCTTTTTTTAAAAGCAAGAATAAAAATGTTCCAGCTTTTCAAACATCGCTAATTTGAGATGCTACTTTTATTAAATTTCCATAGTAATGCCACCATTTTAAGTTCTACAGACATAAAGGAAATCACTTTAGTTTTTAATAAGGTAAAATATTCAATCCCAGTTTTTTAAATGATGATTTTGCTTCATTTTAACACTTTTTTCCTCTCAGATTTGGCAAGAAGAAAAATACGCATTTGCTGTTTGTTTTTATCACCCCTGAAAATTTTAAAGGTATGTGCCTGCTGGACATATTATTTGTTTTTTCTCCAAATAAAACTCATAAGGTCAATATTTAAAACAAAAACTCTTAGGTTGTGTTTCAGGGCATGGAGCCGACATTACTTTAAGTGAGCCACTGACCATCGAGAAAATGAGTATTGTGGTAAAATACTGGAAAATCTATTTCTCAAGTACTGGTGAGTGAAAACCAAATATCCAAAGGTTTGAAAAATTCTAATTAAATTTTACAAAAGCTATACTTCTACATTTTTAAGTTGTTTTCCACTTATGCCTTTTATTTGCTAAGGATTAACTGTATACTATGTACTGTAAAGAACACGTAGTCCCTATTAATCATGGTCTAAAGGGAAGACATGTAAATAAAATGAAATATACGTTCTCTACCTGTGAAGAAAAAATTTACATTTTCCACAGTTGAAAATGTGTTGCCCAAGGACAAATACAGTTCTGCGGCAGGCACAAGGTTTTTCTTTTTAGTGCCCTAGTTGCTACCATCATTCCTTATTCTTTAAAATGGAATTAATCATGTCATTGTATGAGTGTCTAAAAGCCAGGGCCACTAACCTTGAATTGTATCACACTTTCTGCTTTGCAAAATACTTGCTCATAAATTAGTTTACTTCTTTAAGTTAGTAGGGTGGTTATCCTTTCTGTTTTAGATTTTTAGATACAGATAATTAGTGTCACCGCTTCAATTAGATCTCCCATTTCTAAATTCTTCACCTACATTGTATTATGTGTATCACCAGCATCTAAATACTTAAGCTAATTAAATTCACTTTAATTTGGCTTATAAAAGGACAGACTCCAATATCTGAAATTAAATTCTACTGGAATCATTGTTGGTCAATGACTCTTTATGGTTTTCCTAGGCCTGGGATACTAGCTAGGAATTTTTTTTAAATTATGATGATGTTTTCTTAAAATGGGCCTGAAAAACACTTTCAGGATTATCCTGTATAAACTCCTACTCCAGATGATATAGGACTCAGTACACCCCTCCTTTTTTCATGTTTTGTTTTGTTTTTTAACATTCAGGGAAGATTAGTGAGTCTGTTCTGTAACATTCCAAAGTGGCTCCCAGCCCCTGCAGCCTCAAAGTTCTTCCTGGAAATGGCTAACTGGTGACCCAGATCCTGTTTTCAACCTCTTATTTGGCTCTCAGAACAGCTGCTCATCACCACCTGTCTGGCACCCTCCCTATTGGTCATAAGCACGTCTGCTTCTGGTCATCTCATCTTTGCTCTGAGGATGAGCAGCTGCAAAAAAAAAAAAAAAAGAAAGAAAGAAAGAAAAGAAAAGAAAATGAAAGAAAAAAAAATCAGATGTCATATTTTGACAATACAACTGCCTACCATAGACTCATACATATTTTCTTTCTCTGACATTTACCTCTATATAAGAACTTAATAAATAAACTGAGTTGAATGTGTTTTAAGCACACCTATCACTAATTTACTAGAATCTGGTTGAAAGAGAATGTCCTGGAGTGAATAGAATGTATATTTTCATTTTTTGTTCTAACCTGGGTGATTTCATGCTTTGCAAACTAAAATTTATAAATTGCTTTCTGTAAAAAATACTGCTTTGTAAAGTCTATTGAATAAAAAGTGGCAACTGCTTTTTGATGAGGGCTTGTATGTACGATCAACATCATCCCCACCAGTGATTTTAGAATTAAAATAGCCCCCCTTTTAAAACTTTCAGTTAAGAATGAATATGCTGTGAAGCCTGAAGAACCGGGATTGCCCCAGCAGAAGTCCTGCAGTGAACAATTGGGATATTTTTCTACTGATCTATTTGCTTGGTTAGTTTTTTTTCACTTTTTCATAGTAACAGTTCTTACTGTATAACTTCTGGAGAACTTCCTGATTGTGGAACACTAGTTCAAGTGCTAGGGGTGATGCAAAAGGAAGAAGAGGTTGTGTTATAGAAGGGGGATGGGACTTTTTCTGTATTTCAGAGTCCCGAACTGGGACTGTGGATACATATTGCAGAGGTATTCACTTCAATATAAGGAAGTACTTCATAGCAATCCGGGTTGGCCAGAGGGGACCAGGGTGAATTGCACAGTAGTAAGTTCCCCAACACTAGGGAATAGTAGAATAGTAGAATCTTCTTTGAACAAAAATTTTACATATAACCCCAGTATTTAAACAGGCAAGAGCAGCCTCAGATGTTACCCACTTACCACTAAGCTCTCTGATGTCTTTTTTGAACTCATGAATCTGTCCCCACAATTACTGAAAACAACTTTTAAGAAAGGTCTGTTTCTGTCCCCACCTCTTCCACTGATAGAACTGATATTTAAACCTGCGTTGGATAATAGGAAGTTGAACTGGGGTCAGACCTTTCTCATGCTAGCATTATCTGCTTATAAAAATTCAGTTTTTGTGAATTTCTTTTATTCACTTTAAGTGATTTCCAAGGAGATTTTAAATAGAGCATAGGGCTACAAGGAATGAACAGAGCTGCTGAGGACATGGGTGATGATGGTGAGAATTTTGAGTCAGTCACTTCCAGAATTTGTAGAATGTGACCATCAACTCTTTGCAGAAATGTGACTATCTACTACTTTGAACAAGGAAAAGACCTGGCAACCAATAAGTGTGGGTAAACCAAAGATGTGCTCACTTAAATAGTACAGAGATATCACAGGTTTCTTCATCTTATTTAACATTTTAACCTGAAAGAAATTTATTGTATTATACCTATCCAGGAAATGAGGTTGGGAAGGGTTTTGGAAGGCTTTGTGATTTTCTTGTATTACTTGTAACTTCTTTTTATTTTATTTTATTTTATTATGTTATGTTAATCACCATATAATTACATCATTAGTTTTTGATGTAGTGTTCCATGATTCATTGTGCATACACCCAGTGCTCCATGCAGAATGTGCCCTCTTTAATACCCATCACCAGGCTAACCCATCCCCCCACCCCCTCCCCTCTAGAACCCTCAGTTTGTTTCTCAGAGTCCATAGTCTCTCATGGTTTGTCTCACCCTCCGATTTCCGCCCCCTTCATTTTTCCCTTCCTACTATCTTCTTTTTTTTTTTTTAACATATAATATATTATTTGTTTCAGAGGTACAGGTCTTGTAACTTCTTTTTGAACCCTCCTTGTCTTAAATCTTTATTTTTCCTCAGAATTCTACCATTACAAATAAAAGTACATTTTCAAATCAAGTTATGTCCCTTGGGATAAAGGAGATAGTATTAGTATATAAGTTTCTTAGGGAAATATTTTTAAAAATTAACCAAAATGCTTGGAGAAGTTTTAGAAAAATGGTAGAATCAGAAGGTATCTAAATGGAAGGAGTCTGATCTCTGCTGATCAAGTTGAAATAGTGTACTGTGGTCCTTTAATCCTTTGTGTTGTCTTCCTGTAATACACCTTTCAAGACAGTCATATAATTTGGGGTAGGCATAATCAATGAGGTCAGAATATTTTAATCCTGCTTACACTTTAATCCTCTGTTACTCTTTATCTGTATATTTTAGAATTTTGAATAATCATTGGATTTATGATGATCTTGATCATAAATTCTTTAGAGTCTCTGAAATAAAATATTCTGCACCAAATATGTAAGGTGAAGTGTTTTGGTATTTTCTGCACCTTTGCATGAAGCAAGGGACTTAGAGAAACACCTTTGATTACCGTATTGGTGCTTATTGTTCAATATTGCCTGACAATTTTCCTCTTAAGTCTATAACATTATTTTCTCTTGTTTCTAGCTCTGAATCTCTAAGAAATGACACTGGGTTTGAATTAAAGGCTCCGTTGCCAGATTTTGAGAAAAGCAAAAAGATTTCTCTTCTTCATTCAAGCAAGGAAAAGCTGAGAAGGTGAATTATGGTATAGTCCATTTTTAGTATTATTCCTTTCATGGAAAAAATTACTTTCATGATTCCATAATTGTTTGTAGTACTGTTAAAAGTCTCTGTGAAACTAGTAACTGGCAACTAAATACATGCCACTCACTCATTCATTCCTTTATTCACTCAGCAAATTATCTGTGAATATCTGATATGTGCCAAAATACGATTACAGCACCAAATAAAAAAATAAATTCTTGCCTTCAAGATCTTAGTCTAGTGCTCAGACTTATAAATAGGCTATTACATAGAAAATCATGTTTTCATAACCGTCGTTATAGAGAGGAGCACATAGTAAGCATCCTGGGAAAGTTACCTAAGACAGAATGAGGGAGCAGGAAGGCTTTCTTGAGGAAATGATGCTAAATTGAGATTTGAATGCAAAGTGACTATTAATTTGGTTTAAAAGTCAGGGGAGGATGTTTCATTTGGCAGGAAAAGCAGGTACAGAGGCCGGCAGTATAAGAAAGTTCAGTGAATTTATTATCCTGTGCTGTGTCCATGTACTTGGCTATAATGGCACAAGTGGGAGGGGGCAGGAGACGAGAAGTAGTAGGTAAGGGTTGTGCACATCGTGTTAAGAAATTTGAATTTGAATCTGAAATTGTTGGGGAGGCCCCCGAGGATTTTTGCAAAGGAGTGATGTGATAAGATTTGCACCTAGAGTGAACACTCTAGCAGGATGTTAGAGAGTGAGTTGAATCTAGAAGACTGTGGAATCTGTCAAAAGAAGTGAAGAAACCTAACTATGTTTTTAGAAATGGGATAAGGAAGAATAAACTGAGTCCAGATATACTAAGTGGGTAGATTCAGTGTAAGCATGGATGCGGGAGGAGTCAAGTATAACTTGCAAGTAGATGTTGCATCCACCAACTGGGAAGTTCAGTAGAACGGCAGGCTGGCAGTGGGAGGTGATTTTTGCGCTTGTTGGGTGTGAACACCTCCAGGTTTACACGAAGCTGTCCAGTCAGGAGTTGGCCCTGAGGTTCTAGAGAAAGATCTAGGCTAGAAATATGGACTTAGAACTCTCAGGATACAGCGTCTACTTAAAGAGTGGTTGTAGTAGGGATAGATATGATGACTTTGCAAAGCATGTAGAGAAGAGATAAATGGAAAAAAGAGAACCTTGGGAAAAATCTATGTAAGGTAGGGGCAGCAGAGAAGAAATCGGGGAAAAGAAAGATCAGGAAGCCAAGAGGGATTGGAATTGAAGAGACCAGGGAGAGGAGTTTCCTAAAGGAATGAGTGTTCAAGAGTATCACATGGCAGGGAGCAAGTAAGGGGAGAACTAATAATTAACTATTTGTATTTGGCAGAACCTAAACATCATTGGTCTTGGCAAAAATAATTTCATTGGCATGGTTAGGAAAGAAGCATCATTGTGGAAAGATGGAAAATTAAAGGTGGGAGCATAAATGAAAGGAAAGAGAAAATTAGGGTGTGTGATCTGTAAAAGGGGATCTAGAGCAAAATGAGAAATTTTGATAAGATTGGGCCAGACTTGAATATGTTTATATTTATATTCCAGAAGAAAATAGCTGGAAGAGAGATAGAGGTCTTGAAGATACTCATATTCTGATTATCTGTATTGTAAAATATGGTGTATCTGTGGTATAAAAAATGAAACCAAAATTTGTTGGCTTGATACATGGTTTTATGGATTAACAATTTGAGCAGGACTCAGTGGGCAATTCTTTTGTCTACATGACATCAACTGGGGTCACTTTGCAGTATTCAGCTAGTGGATGGTCTAGTCAGGACAGTCCAAGACATTATGTCTGGAGCCTTTGCAGGGATGGCTGGAAGGCTAAGCTCAGCTGGGGCTATCAGTTAAAGCTTCTCCAGCACGGTAGTCTCAGGGTTGTCAGGCTCCACTGTTCTAAGAGACAGGGAGAGGAAGCTGCCACTGTCTTAAGGCCTGGGACCAGAAACTGGCTCGGTGCTATTTCTCCCATATGCTTTTGGTCACAGCAGTCACAGAACTATCCTGATCTAAAGGAAGGGTACATAGAACCCCACCTCTCAGTGGGAGGAATGTCAAATAATATTAATCCCCTACAACTGGAGAGGGGGGTTGGTGATGGACTTGGTATCCCTAAGTAGATAGAAGCTTATGGAATCTAGAACCAGGTGGGAGAACACCTCTTCTACTGAAAATGGAGAGAAGGAGCTAGAGCTAAATGTGGATAAGATTCATCTTTTCATGGCCTCCATTATCTGTTGGAGATCAATGGAGAGGTAGTTTTGGGCTTGGTGAGATGGGCTGGTGGATGGGCTAGTTTAGTCCAAAAGACCTTCACTCACATGTTTGGCTGCTTTGGCTGAATGAAAGCTTAGGTAGTGTCTGCTGGCTAGTGCTAACCCATAGATTTCACTGATCTGCACTGACTGAGAAAAATACAGAGCAATGAGTATTTTTAAAGCTATATATTATGCAATTTATATTCCAAGATTTTATTTTCCATATTTTATTTTGTGTTAAATTATGATATTTCTAAATGGTTGCAATGGAAGGATATTGGGAGGTGCTACCTCTCTTATTTTTCACGTTGAGATCCAATGTTGGAAGTCCTGTATGGGTCCTCCAAACTTCCATGTTGTTTGTATTTTCTTCATTTTAATGGTTGATGAAAACTAAAATCTGAGAACCACTCATCTCCCAGACTAAAAAGATGCTTTGGAGGGTGTGTACCCCTGTGGCACTATTTAAAGAACTAGAAATCTTTGTTTCCCAAAAAGAAAAGCTGTTACCAGGGTACCCCATCTTCCCCTTTAGAGATTTGCTTGAGAGATACCAGAAAGTAAAGAATCCATCCCTAATTATTTTTTTGCCTTTTCCTCCTCTTAACCCTTATGATGATGCTCATGAATCTTAGTCTGTTTCCCTTCCTCCTTCTCCTCCCAATCAGCTGCTTTACACACGCTTTTGTCTTGTCTTGCTCCCTTTGGTTTTTTTTTCGCAGCATAAGGTAACATGATGTTGACTAATGTTGAGAAGATAATGGTCCTGGCTGATGGTTTTGAGTATTTGCATTTGGGAAGTTCTTTTTTTTTTTTTTAATGTGATGTTAATCACCATACATTACATCACTAGTTTTTGATGTACTGTTCCATGATTTATTGTTTGTGTATAACACCCAGTGCTCCATTCAGTACGTGCCCTCTTTAATGCCCATCACCAGGCTAACCCATCCCCCCACCCCCCTCCCCTCTAGAACCCTCAGTTTGTTTCTCAGAGTCCATAGTCTCTCATGGTTCGTCTCCCCCTCTGATTTCCCCCCCTTCATTCTTCCCCTCCTGCTATCTTCTTTTTTTTTTTTTAACATATATTATTTGTTTCAGAGGTACAGGTCTGTGATTCAACATTCTTGCACGATTCACAGCGCTCACCATAGCACATGCCCTCCCCAATGTCTATCACCCAGCCACCCCCTTCCTCCCACCCCCCTCCACTCCAGCAACCCTCAGTTTGTACAAGTCTAACAACTCTGTTTACTTTATCAGAACAGATTAATAAAAATTGACTACCTCATTCTGATATTCTTGATGAAATCCCTTTTGTCATATGTGTTTTAAATACATTAAATATGTTTTCATCTTGTTAAGGTATACTTTTCAGAGTGATGCCATGTCATCGTTTTGTTTGTGCGTCCATGAATCTGAAATGATGGTGGTTTAATCATTTTGGAGATGTCTACTCACTTGGAAAGACGTGAAAGCGAGCTTTGCCATAGTCTTAGAAATTGAAGGAATGTGTAACAGGGAGTTAGTTCTCAGAGGATCTCAAGTCTGATCTGGCCAAAATTCTTCCCTCTGTGAGTTCTTGTTTGCTTGAGACACATTTGTGCAGAGGAGAGACCCAAGGACTTAGTTTGGACCGAGGTCTTTGGCCTCAGATCCCTTACAGCCTCTCAGAATCACTCTTAACTGGGGGAGAATGAAACCAGATTTGTTCTTGTCCTGACTTATTTGGATTGGATCATAACCAAGCTGGCTACTGGCTACTGAGATTGGTAACAAAGACAAAACATGCCCTTTGACTTGTTGTCGTCTACTGCTGTTACATACACAAAAGAAAAGGACAAGACTACATGGAGTCTCTGGAGCCTATTCTACTTCTCTGAGCCAACAGTAACATCCTTCACAGTTTCACTAAATGTTTCCTCTTCATTCTTCTGTTTTCTTTTAGTTAAAAAAAAAAATATCATGGTATAATTAACACACAAGGAGATACAATGAAGTTAACATACAATGAAATCTTCAGTGTATGTTTTTTAATCTCTTTGGTGAAGTGTCCATTTTTTTGTCTATCTTTCTACTGGGTTTTTCTGTGTTTTTTTTATTGATTTTTAGAAATTCATTATATATTCTGGATTTACTAGCCTTTTGCCAAATATCTATATTGCAAATATCTTCTCTCAGACCATGTGTTGATATATACACATTTTTAGTTAATACATAAGACTTTAAAGAAATTCTGCTCACAAGAGGTCACTTTGAGTTGTCTCACTCAAAGGATGAAACTTTACTTAATCTGTTTACTCCACTATCACTTAAGGATATAGGTCTAATATTTTCCTGCCCTGTCCTAACCTCAAGTTCCTAATCTTGATGTGAGAGCCAGAAAGATTTAAGAAGCAATGAACAAAGCTAGATCCATAATGCTTGCTAATACACTCTATAGTCTCAGGAATATTCGAGAATTTAGGATAAAGAGTTATACTTAATATCAGAAGATTAAATTAGTGTCTTTGAGAGGTAAGTTGCATGTGTTTAAGTGTATGGTTTGATGAATTTTAAAAAGATGGTTTGTTACCCACTGTTCCCTAGAGGAGGAAGTATTATCACACCATTTAGGGCTACACAAGGAAACACCAGGGTTGGTCACGGGGCAGACAAATGGATACACCCATCTAAACCACAACCTTTCCATTATATTAGAATGTTCCCTTGTGTAGTAAGCATGTCTT